ATGATTTCCCAGCTGCTCTGGTTTGACCCCATTTTGGAGGAAAAGTGACAGCTGATAATATTTTCAAATTTAAGGAATTAAGTCTACCTGACATCTGTTGCTTACCTTAGTTATGTTTTTTTTTGGGGGGGGGGGTGAAGTCCTTGTATCTCAAAATATTGTTTAGGTTGCTTTGGTAAGAGCAGAAAATGTCAGTGGACAATGGTTACAAAGTTGTAGAAGAAAAATACCAACAACAGTTACAATGCCTTCTTCTTTCTTTCCTTCTTTTCTTTCTTTTTTTTTTTGTCATGGGGCTTGAACTCTGGGCCTGGGCTCTGTCCCTGAGCTCTTCAGCTCAAGGCTAGCACTCTACTATTTGAGCCACAAGGCCACTTCTGGCTTTTTTCTGTTTATGTGGTGCTGAGGAATCGAATCCAGGCCTCATGCATGTGAGGCAAGCACTCTACCACTAAGCCACCTTCCCAGCCAACAATGTTTTTTTTTTTTAAGTCCCAACAAAAGCATATATTTAAAGAAAAAATCGGTTTATTAAATAAATACTTGCAAAAGTACTTATTTTGCATTATGTTTTTCATGAGTTTGAATATAAATATTTTAGAAAATGAACGAAGCTGCAGATAAAGCAGACAATAATCATTGTAAAAACCCTGAAGAGGCTATCAATGAGCAAGAATCACTTTACCATTGTACGTAGCATTTTAGAATAATAATTATAATGGAAAGCATTATAAATAAACTCTTCTTATATCTTCTTAATAATACCTAAATTTTCCAGATGCCAGTGACTCACCGTTATTATCATAGTTGCTCAGGAGTTTGAGACCTTAAGGATCAGAGTTCAAGGACAGCCTGGGCTGAAAAATCTATGAGGCTCCATCTACAAAATAACCAACAAATAGTAGACTGGAGATCTGGCGTAAGTGGTAAAGTGTCTGTCACACAGGTAAGTAAATGTGAAGCTCTGAGTTCAAATTCTAGTGCTGAAATAAAAGGAAAAAAAACCCAGCACAAATGCAAAAGATTTCAGTGACTGTTTTGCATATTGAAGGTTCAAATCTAATGCACATTGTATAAAACACAGCACTTATTGATCATATTCATCTACATACTACACTTTAACTGCAAAAGTTTTCACGATGTTGAGATAAAGTTTCAGCTCACACCCTGACTCATTTCTAGGTATAGACACACAGCATTTTAAATGTAATAGGATTATCTAAAATAATAGTTGCTTGTAACCACAATTATAAAGTACTCTTTGAAATCCTAACATGGACACTTAAATAAAATTCTGATTCAATTAAGGTGATTCAGTTTCATAAGTAGTCAAAAACCTGACAAAAATCATTGGAAAACACAAGCAATCATCTGTGCTCATTAAAGGAGCCTTTTGCCAATTTCCCTAAAAGAATTTTTAATATTATCTTGATCTAGCCACAGAGAATTAGATTTTTGTTTTATTTTTGTACATTCAATTTTGAGCTTAGAAAATTATCTAGGTGCCTTCATTAAAATTAAATTAATTAGTGATTAAAAGTTAATAAACAGCCCATTGAATTTTGTAAACTTCATAAGCCTACCTTTTAGACACATTTTAAAATTTGCTCACATTTTTGAAGTGTTTTTGAGCCTTCTAAGCTCTGTCTCTCTTTTTCCATTCTGGAAAGCATATTCATATTGGAGTAAATCTTATGAAATATTTTCTCAATCCCAAAGTGTTTTGTTTCCATTTCAGTTTCCAAAAATATGCTCCCATACTCCTTTTTGCATTGTAGTGGTGGGGTTTAAACTCAGGACCTTTATCTTGCTAAACAGGTACTATATCACTTTAGCCTTCTGACAAATACTATTGGTATACTGGAGATAAGTTCTCAATTTATGCCCCTCCTCAACCTGGACTGCAGTCCTCCTATCGGTGCTTCCTTTGTCCCTGGGCTGACAGGTACAGACCATCATGACCACTCACTGATTACTTTTAAGTATGAGCCAGCTTCTAACTTAGATACCTCATTCTTTATCCCCAAGTAACTAGGATTATAGGTGTGAGCTACTATAGCCAGCTCTCTCATATCCTCTTATAACTCTCTCTTATTTTTTGGTTATTTTCTCCATGCCCCCTTATTTTCCTTCTAATTTTCATTTTGAAATGATCTTCACAAAAAAATTGAATTTAGAAAAACAGCATTTTTTTTCTGAGTAACACAAAATACTCTTAGAGTCTTAGTAGTCTTTTATTTCCATGAGGACCCAGGAAGGAAGGAACCTCAAACCGTCCACACAACAGCTTAGGAAAGCTCATTGTTAACAGACACATATGTTACCAAATAAAGCCTCTTGCTAGGCAGTTTGCTTTTTGGTTTTCTTTATTGTTATTATAGAGGTGATGTACAGCAGGATTGTGTTTACATGAGTCAGGAGATGAGTATATTTCCTTTTGTACAATGTCATCTGTTTCCTCCCCCTCTCAGTCCCTCCCTCCCATCTCCACCCACACATTGTATAGTTCACTTTCATCGATGTCCAGTGAGCTCCACTGCTGTATTTCTTTTTACCTTTTTCCCTCTAGTACGTGCCCTCCCTCCCACCTTCCTACAGATATACCTGTGAATACACCATTCATAAGGTAAAGAAGACAGAATCATCAAAAACTGGAAAGTAAAGAAAAAAACTTTTCTTTCCATAGCTTGGAGTTTGTTTCATTATGTATAGTATGAAAAAGCATCTTAGGCATAGTGCCTTTGAGATTCTCTCTTAAGAGTATCCTCTTTTTTTTTTAAATTTATTTTATTTTATTTGAGAACATACTGTACAGAGGGGTTACAATTACATGAGCAGGATAATGCATACATTTCTTACCAAGCATTGCAGCCTCCTCCTTTGTTTACCCTTCACCTCCCTTCCCAGCCTCCCCCCTCCCCCCCACCCAATCCTTCCCCCCTCCCCCCCACACACCGACATTGTAAAGCTCATTTTTGACATGACATTTTGTACTTCTCATTGTTGCAACAGGTCCACCTGAATCCTTAAACGACTTGTTTGTCCCCATCTCCTCCACAAATTATACTGACATCAAATATAGTGAAAGCGGGGGTTACACTGTGGGGGAGGGACATACAAAGCAACAAAGAAATAATCTTATAAATGCGTTAGAAACACATGCATGAAAGAAAAAAACATTAAAATACATATTTAAGGGATCGTTTTCCTAACATCACATTATCTGACCTTTTCCGCTTGACTCATACATATACTAGATATTGCATATAAGGGAAACCATGGGACCTATGTTTCTTTGGGCCTGGCTTACTTCACTTAATATGATTTTTTCCAAGCCTTTCCATTTCCTAACAAATGGGGTAATGTCATTCTTTCTGATGGAGGCATAGAATTCCATTGTGTATATATACCACATCTTCTTGATCCATTCATCTAAAGAGTATCCTCTTTTGGTCTCACTTTGTATAAGTGCACAGAATCCTGTATAATTTGTCATATCCCAGTGTATTTTAGCTCTAACGTCTACAAATCAGAGAGAACATGTGCTGCTTGTCTCTCTGAGCTTGGCTTGCCTCACTTAACGCGATTTGTTCTCGTTCCATCCATTTCCATGCAAATGACATTATTTCATTCTTTCTAATGGTTGCATAAAATTCCATTGTATACAGGTACCACATATTTTCTGATCCATTCATCTATTGTGGGACATCTGGCCTTTTCCATATCTTGGCTATGGTGAATAGTAGGCAGCTTGGTTTAAAAAAACAAACATTTTTTAGTGCTGTTTTCAAGCCAACACTTAAATGCCTACATGATAGCTCCCTAGGAGCATACAATTATATATACTCTTAAATAATTATATCAGAACTGTAGGTGACCAGTTTTCAAAGAAATAGAAAACAGAGACAATAGCTCCTTTACAACAACTCTATGACTTCAGTCTGAGAATGATCCTAAAGATACTCATATGCATTGATCAAGGTGCAGAATATATGATGTGTTGAATTGAAACTCCTTTGTACAACTAGGCTACTATGTTTTCTATTTGTGTTTTTTAACTCATCATTTTAGATGCTTATCTTGGTGGTTAATTATTATAGATGTAGACTAATAGACAATATCTGAAATGCTACATGAAAACAATCACACTAACCCAACGTGCCCACTTACAAAACCCATTCTTCTGACTATGTCTTGGTCATAGGTTTCTAAGTACACATGGACCTGAATAAGAATAGACCCAGCTAGAATTCTCCCCGAGGGGAATGGATATACTTGGCACTTCTCGTTCTTTGACTAATCATAACACAGATCTCAGACTACTTGGGTTTCTTGCCTACATCCCTTCTTTTCCTGCTACACAATCAACACAAAGTTACAGAATCCAAAATTCCTGGTCAGGCAAATAGAAGGGACTCAAATTAGTTCAGATGAACCCAAATTCTCAAGAGTCTTCCAAACACAAGGGATCAAAATTTCCTCTCAGACAGGTCATAGGAGAAGTCCAAATGAGTTCAAATAAGCCACAAGAGCTCCAGAAAACAAAAAGAAGAATGAAAACTAAATGACCAGGCAGGTAGAATTTAGTGACAGTCAGATTTGAGGGCCTGTAGACACCAATGTTAATTTTTCTATCTCACCAAGGGATAGTAAAAAAGCAATCAATGATGTATGCCTATGGTCTCAGGCACACAGGAGACAGGTTTAGAATGGTCAGAGTTCAATGTTGGCCCCAAACAACAACAACAACAACAAAAAACATATATCTGAAAAATAAGCCAAAGCAAAAAGATTTAGGGCCATGGCTCAAGTGGTGGAGTATCTGAGCATGAGGCCCTGAGTGCTACCAAAAAGGAAGAGAAGGAGAAGGAAGAGGATGATGAGAAGATGAGGAGTGAAGAAGAAAGGTGGAGAAGGAGAAAGGAGGAAGAGGAGATAGAAGAGGAAGAACGGAGAAAAAGGAAAGGAGGAAGAGAAGAGGAGGGTAGGAGGAAAAGAAATTCTCGCGTTCTAAGGATTGAGCATGTTCTATGATGTTTATTCCTTAAGAAGAAGGAAATAATCAATCCTCATTGCTTTTTTCTTGGTAGAAAACAATGTTGATTAAACATAATCTGAGGATTTGAGAATTTGGGGAACACTTCGGAAATCATAGCAGTACAGAAACAGTGTCATTCCGGTGTGGGAAAATGATGCACAAGGTGTGTGGGAAGGCTTAGTGGACAATTCCTCCTATGAAACATGGCACATCCAGGCAACAGACAGTTGTCAAAGCAAGACAGATTTCATTGTAAAGTACTAACTTTGAGCTTTCTTTCCCTGAATACTGGTCAATAAAGTAGACCCGGAATGCATGGTGAGGTATAAAACATACAACTATTACTAAGAGGAAGAAGAAACTCTTGATCTGGGCTCTAAACTCTTGGTGGGCCCACATGTCTGGCCAATGAGCCTTCATCAACTGCAGGATGACGGCCATCTGCAAGAGAAAGAGGATCAGCACGGTCGCCATGATGACAACAATAACAGAATAGTTCAGGATGACCATGCCCTGGTGGTGGAGATCTCTGTGGAACTCAAAGCATCGCTGTTTCTTTGAGTAACTTGGGTCTGTGCCATATTGCAAAAAAAATATTGGCAAAAAAATGAGGCCAGCCACTATCCAAATAGCCATGCTTAGCATGATTGCATGGTACTTTTGGAATGGTTGCATTTGGAGTTTCTTAAAATAGATGAGTAGCCGGAGAGTCACGATGGCCACGTAGAAAATAAAGGTGAAGTACATATGGCCATAGAGGATGGCACTCACCACCCGGCAGGTAAAGTACCCAAGCTCCCAGATGCCAGAGAGGTAGTAGCTGAGGCGGAATGGAAGGCTAGCCAAAAGGATGGAGTGCAACACCACAATATTGAGGACCGCGGTGGAAATCATCGACTGGCTATTTCTTCTGAGCATCATGGGTGAAATCATAATGGTGCCAGCAGTGCCAACCAGGAAAATCATGCCATAGAGGGCTAGCAGAAGCATCTTACAATAGGCATCACAGTAGTCGATGTCCATGTTTGAGATGTTGGATGGGTTGGTTGTGTTGATCAACTCCATGGTTTGCCACGAAGAACTTAGTAGATCATGAACCACTAAATCAAGAAGTTTACACCATTATGGTTGGATGTATTGGAACTCTACACACTTAACATTAAACATATTTAAGGTTGCAATCCTAGATGACTGTTTTATGTACTCAAAACCACATATCAGCTGACACCTGTGGCTCACGCCTATAATCCCAGCTACTCAGGAGGCTGAGATCTAAGGATTGTCGTTCAAAGCCACCCCAGGCAGAAAAGTCCATGAGACTCTTACCTCCAGGTAGCCACCAGAAAACCAGAAGTAGCACTAAGGCTCAAAACAGTAGAATGCTAGCCTTGAGTAAAAGAGTTCAGGGACCACATCCAGGCCCTGAGTTCAAGCCCCACATGGACAAAAAACAAATGAGCAAAACCAAAAAACACATACTAGGAAGTAATTACAACTAGTAACTAAAACATTGAAGAGACACATGCGTGTGTTAGAAAGGTCATGGGATATTGGGGTTGAAATGAAGACACCAATTTGAAAGGAGGCCAGCATGGCAAAATAAGGGCCTATTACTAAAAGGAAGCCAAGTATGCACATGCACTGGTGGGCAGTCGGCCCAGGTGTTCTCCCTAATACATTACTGCCTCTCGTTCCCACTAGTCAGAATGCATGTTAATAATCTTGTGCAATGGTCTAGTTTGAAAGAGGTTAGGAAAAGAAGGGACATGGCTTACCTAAAATAGGATGGCAGCTGCCCTTAAGATGGTGGTGCTTATTTCAAGCAACCACTCTAACAGAGAAGATTCCAACTCCTATAGGCGTTACAGTAAATAAGAAAAACCAGTTTGAATGTGAAGCTTAGAGCTGACATCAAATGCATTTACACACACACACACACACACACACACACATACACACACAAACATACAGGACAAGGCAAGACGTGGGCTTCAGTACAAATTGTAAGCATCTAAAAACTCAGAACTCAAAAATAAAAATAGTTTAACACAATATTTTAAAATTCAGAAGTGATGCAAAAATTCATAGTGATCTGGATACAGATGGCTCCTGCCTATAACCCTAGCTACTTAGGAAGCTGAGATTCAGGTGACTGAGGTTCAAAGTCATCCCAGGGCAGAGGAAGTTCATGAGACTCAATCTCAGAAGTGGAGCTGTGGCTCAAAGTGGTAGAGCACCAGCCTTGAGCAAAAGAGCTCAGGGACAGCATCCAAGCCCTGAGTTACAAGTCCCATGACCGACTAAAAAGGAAAAGAAATTGCTCAGTTCATGAGACTCCATCTCCAAAATAAGGGAAATGATAAGAGTTTGGAAATGGGTGTGTTTGGTTGTTATTTTAGTTTTGCAGATGTGAAAGTTTGAGGGGAAGCTTTCTGTAGCAAGCAATAAAACAGAACTGGCATTCACCTTATCCAGATATGTGCAGATTTTGTGAAGCACGTAAGTCCTGAGCATCCATCACTCTGACTTCATGGAGTTGTAGGTATGAAATAGGAAAGGTTGTATTGGATTCAGTAAAGTGTTCTTCAACAATTCAGTGAGTAAGCTTGGCTTGTGTGATATATCTATAACCCCAGCTACTCAGTAGGTGTGTGGATATCAGGAGGATCACTGGTCCAGTCCAGCCTGGGGAACAAGGTTGTGAAAACTAATAAAGAAGCTAAATAAGCTGGGGAGATGACACAAACCTATAATTCAGTTTATGTGGGAGGCCTAGATAGGAGGATCACCATCTGAGGCCAACCTTGAGCAAAAAAAAAACCCCTCACAGATCCTCTGTTAAAAAATAACTAAAATCAGGAAAGGTTTTGAGGTGTGATGTAGAGCACCTGCCTGGCAAGCATGAGTCGCTGAGTTCAAACTCCAGTATGACCAAAACTATAAATGATAAAAATAAATACAATAGGGCTGGGAAGGTGGCTCAGTGGTAGAGCGCTTGCCTTGCATGCTTGAGGTCCTGGGTTCAATTTCTCAGCACCATATAAGCAGAAAAAAAAAGCCGGAAGTGGCGCTGTGGCTCAAGTAGTAGAGCGCTAGCCTTGAGCTGAAGAGCTGAGGGACAGTGCCCAGGCCCAGAGTTCAGGCCCCACGACCAGACACCATCCCCCCCCCCAAAAAATAGAAAAAAATACAATAAAGCTAGTGTAGTTAAGACAGATTTATAATAGAGAAAAACCCTATAAATGTCATGATTCTTAAGGATAGCTCACAAGAAGTCAATTTTTTTTACTTCTTGTAACTTATTATAAGTAGGGACAGTCATGATTAGGTTTTAGAAAACTATAACTACATCAATAATTATTTATTTCAGACTATTAAAGTTTCAACATTTAATCTAACAGTATGTGTCATAGGAAGCAAAATAGTCAAACTTCTTTCTCTGGAAGTTCAGTATTATTTCCTCCCCTTTCTGCAGCCCATCTAGCCAGACCCAAAGTTACATCATTTTTATCTGAGAGAGAAGTTATTTCATATTGCAAATCTCAATAGCCTGGAATTTCTATGCTACTATGGAAATTTCTTTCTATGAAAAAATGATATAGAATCTTGCATAGTTACTACCCATGATAATATTTTATTGAATTTAAAAAAACATAATTCTGAGTCGAATAACAAGCTAATTTTTTAGGTTGAAGTATGCATGTTCATAAGTGATATACCTCTAAAATATATGGTGTTTTGAAGCTTTTATGTGATACAATAATTCCACATGACTTAAGAATAATAAAGAGGACACTGATTTTGTTTTAAAGTGTTGGCTATCCTCAAAGCGAAACAGATAAGATTTCAGTCTGAAATTATTGTGAAACAATGAAAGCCAAAAGCAGCTGAAATGAGGATATGTCATAAAGCAGATTGAAGGTATGTGCAAGCAGACAAGCAGCTAGTGATCTCTGCTTAATAGTGAGACAGATATTTAAAGTTCTCCTGTAAAATAATGGAATGAGAAGATCTACTTTGCAAGATTTTCCTGGCACCAGGGGGCTCACGCCTATAATCTTAGCATCTCAGGAAGCTGAGATCTGAGGATTGTGGTTCAAAGCCAGCTCAGGTAGAAAGTCTGTGTGAGTCTTATCTCCAATTAACTACTAAAAAGCCAAAAGTGGAGGTAAGGCTCAAGTAGTAGAGTGCCAGGCTTGAGTGAAAAAGCTCAGAGACAGTACACTAACCAAGTCCTGCGTTCAAGCCCCAGGACAGGACCAGCACACACACACACACACACACACACACACACACACACACAAACACACACACACACACACACACACACACACACACACACACACACAGTACTAATTTACATCTATAAGGAACTTAACATGTTTTCATATATTACACATCATTCAAGTGTCTATGCCATTTCTCCATCTATATTGGGCACAAAGATGTTCCCTAAACCCAACCCACCTCCTCCAAATACTATGCTTCCAGAGAGAAGTTCACAGCACAGAGAAAGAAGAAGCCAAAAGACCACTTTCCTTTTTTTTTCTTTTTTCCTCAACACCTTAAATTGGTGACTACAACATCACTTCTAACATTATCCTTCAAAAGTCTATAACTGAAGGTCTTTCTTTGCTCATGAAAATCAAGTACTGAAATTTCTAGGTGCACATTCTACCAAGAAAAAAACCAAGCTGCTCAAAGGAGTTTACTTGTTCTTTACCTTTTTGGATGTTCTTTGGTGGGAAGTCCCAAGTTTGGGTGCCATTTGTTGATGGCCTCCAGGGCTCTTAGAAACAAGACTGCTCAGCACCACAGTGGAGCAAACCCATGGCTCAGAGAGACAAGGGAAGGAATAGCTCTCAAGCTTTACAATAAAGTCTTGCCAAATTTATAAGCCAAAATAAAGGACCTAGATAAACCATCTGTACCACAAATAGATGTTTATCTTGCATGGTGACACAGATTCACAGTTGTTCCGCTAAGTCACAGTTTTCATTCCGGGAAGTTCTTCTTTGCACAAGCTTTCTTTTATGCAATGAAATACTTTTATGGATTGCCCAAAATGTTTTATATTCAGAATGAGAATGGTAGGAGGAAGTATTTTTGTTATGACTTTCAGATTCTGCATTTACATTTTGCATTTGTGATTTCCTTTCTCTCTTGGGTGGCTGCCATTTTGGAGAGGTGGTTGCTTTGTAGCTTGAGCCTCTGGTGCTCATTTTTCTCAACTCTCTTTCATGTTCTTCTTGTTCTGTGTTACTTACTATCCTAACCTCACACTCACCTAAGGCCCTGGAAAATAATTTTAAGGAAATATTAGGTTTATTACAACATAAACACCACAAGAGACCAACACATCTTTAACACTTGCAGTCAAACCAACCCCAGAATCATATTATTGTTCAGCTGTGAAAATTAAAAATGACTTAGACTTTATCACCTGTAATGCCAGTGCATTATGGCTTCCATTTAAGTACCAAGTGATAAAATTCTCATTTGCCTTGGAAAAGAATAGGTATTATCTTTACCTGCACCATCTGCCACAATGCTTATGGACACAAATATGCAGAAGAACAGAATAGAAATTGTGGGAGCCGAATGTGAAACCATTTCAAGAAAGGCTCCCCCTTATTATCAACTCACTTTCATACCATCTGAACTCAGCTGGAAAAATTTCATCTGGCCACAAATTTTTAACCCATTTTAAACATCTGTCCTTAAATCAAATTAATTTCAAAACACAAAATATGGATTATAGGCCCAGATGTGGACATACTATCTGCTATTGCTTTTCCCTCCATCTCCCCCTCCCCAATAAAATGTCCTCTTGGGATGTGGAGGATAAAGTACGTTTCCATAGAAACCATGCTATATTTAGGGGATGGTTGTCTGATGGAAGACAGAATGGGAGACAAGATAGATATGACCAAGAGTAAAATAAAAATAACAGAGCTGCATGCATATTAATTGTCCCTATTGATGACTTAAGGCCACCTGCTCACAGGTGTGGATGCGGCTTTTGCAAGCTAGCTATAAGAGTGTTAAGTATTCCATCCTTTTTCTAACTACAGACAGAGTTAAGTCTCCTCTCTAGGCAGGAGTTCCAGTCCTCTAAAGAAAATCAACAGATCTTTAATGTTAGTAATTTACTCTGGACAGAATATAAGCTTTCGATTCAACAAATGAAGCTAACACAGTTCAGGGTTCGGGAAATCACACCAGTAGGCCTTCGAGAAGAATGAGAAGCCATGATCCCTGTTCAGAGTTTTATTCTCACCTCACCAGGACACACACTGCAAGAAATGCAAGGTCATGCTCTGCACATGTGTGGATAGCCTATGGCATAACCTTCCATTTCTCTGGAATTTTCTCTTTGGAGTTGAACTAAGCTCTTAAAATGAAAGTTTTATTTTAGTTGTTGCTGGGGGAGGGTGGTCTGAGCACTGTCTTCGAACTTTTGCACTTAAGTAGTACTCGGGCCCTTGAGCCACACCTCTAACTCTCGGCTTTTGGTGGTGAATGGAAGGTATATGAAATAGGTAGGTTTGACTAGGTAGCCCATGAAGAGAACACCACACTGTATTCAGGCAGAAAAAGAAGTTTATTTTACCAAACTGCTGCCCCTGCCATGCATGGTGGAGAGCCATGATCGAAAAGGGAGGCCCACCCCCAGGCCAGGACTTATCTAGCCAGGGACAGGAAGAGGTGTGGTCAGGTAGAGGAAAAGTGTGGCCACACAGGATCTGTGACCTCAGGGGCTGGGACCCTCCTATGGTCACATGGGAGGCTGGTGACCAGAGGTGGTCCAGGATGTGACTTAGCAGGAGGGGGAGGTGACTGCTTCCAG